CACACGCAAGATCATGGTGATGCATAGCAACGAGGGGGAGAGTCTGATCTACGTACTCTTGTAGATCGCAACGAAAGCGTTGACACAACGTAGAGGAAGTAGTCGTACGTCTTCTTCCCGATCCGACCGATCCAAGCACCGTTACTCCGGCACCTCCGAGTTCTTAGCACACGTTCAACTCGATGACGATCCCCGGGCTCCGATCCAGCAAAGCTTCGGGGAGGAGTTCCGTCAGCACAACGGCGTGGTGACGATCTTGATGTACTACCGACCCAGGGCTTCGCCTAAGCACTACAACGATATGATCGAGGTGGAATTTGGTGGCAGGGGGCACCGCACACGGCTAAGGAACGATCTCAATGATCAACTTGTGTGTCTAGAGGTGCCCCCTGCCCCCGTATATAAAGGTTGCCAGGGGGAGGGCTGGTCGGCCAAGGAGAGGAGGGCGCAGGAGGAGTCCTACTCCTACCGGGAGTAGGACTCCCCCCCCAATCCTATTGCTAATAGGACTCCTCGAGAGAGAGAGAGGGACAAGGGGGCCGGCCACCTCTCCTAGTCCTAATAGGACTAGGGGAGGGGGGACGCGCGCAGCCCACCATGGGCTGCCCCTTTCACCTTTCCACTAAGGCCCAATAAGGCCCATTTGGTTCCCGGGGGGTTCCGGTAACCTCCCGGTACTCCGGTAAAATTCCCGATTTCACCCGGAACACTTCCGATGTCCAAACATAGGCTTCCAATATATCAATCTTTATGTCTCGACCATTTCGAGACTCCTCGTCATGTCCGTGATCACATCCGGGACTCCGAACAACCTTCGGTACATCAAAATGCATAAACTTATAATAACTATCATCGTAACGTTAAGCGTGCGGACCCTACGGTTCGAGAACAATGTAGACATGACTGAGACACGTCTCCGGTCAATAACCAATAGCGGGACCTGGATGCCCATATTGGCTCCTACATATTCTACGAAGATCTTTATCGGTCAGACCGCATAACAACATACGTTGTTCCCTTTGTCATCGGTATGTTACTTGCCCGAGATTCGATCGTCGGTATCCAATACCTAGTTCAATCTCGTTACCGGCAAGTCTCTTTACTCGTTCCGTAATACATCATCTCACAACTAACACATTAGTTGTAATGCTTGCAAGGCTTATGTGATGTGCATTACCGAGAGGGCCCAGAGATACCTCTCCGACAATCGGAGTGACAAATCCTATTCTCGAAATATGCCAACCCAACATCTACCATTGGAAACACCTGTAGTACTCCTTTATAATCACCCAGTTACGTTGTGACGTTTGGTAGCACCCAAAGTGTTCCTCCGGCAAAAGGGAGTTGCATAATCTCATAGTCATAGGAACATGTATAAGTCATGAAGAAAGCAATAGCAACATACTAAACGATCGGGTGCTAAGCTAATGGAATGGGTCATGTCAATCAGATCATCCAACTAATGATGTGACCTCGTTAATCAAATAACAACTCTTTGTTCATGGTTAGGAAACATAACCATCTTTGATTAACGAGCTAGTCAAGTAGAGGCATACTAGTGACACTCTATTTGTCTATGTATTCACACATGTATTATGTTTCCGGTTAATACAATTCTAGCATGAATAATAAACATTTATCATGATATAAGGAAATAAATAATAACTTTATTATTGCCTCTAGGGCATATTTCCTTTAGTTAGACGTCCTCTAATTGTTGTTGCAAGTTTTACGTGGCTGCAAAAGGGTTCTAGCAAGAACGTTTTCTTACCTACGTGAAAGCCACAACGTGATTTGTCAACTTCTATTTACCCTTCATAAGGACCCTTTTCATCGAATCCGCTCCAACTAAAGTGGGAGAGACAGACACCCGCCAGCCACCTTATGCAACTAGTGCATGTCAGTCGGTGGAACCGGTCTCACGTAAGCGTACGTGTAAGGTTGGTCCGGGCCGCTTCATCCCACAATACTGCTGAAGCAAAATAAGACTAGTAGCGGCAAGAAAGTTGACAACATCTACGCCCACAACAAATTGTGTTCTACTCGTGCAAAGAGAACTACGCATAGACCTAGCTCTGATACCACTGTTGGGGAACGTTGCAGAAAACAAAAAATTTCCTACGGTTTCACCAAGATCCATCTACGAGTTCATCTAGCAACGAGTGATCGGATGCATCTACATACCTTTGTAGATCGCGAGTGGAAGCGTTCAAAGAACGGGGATGAGAGAGTCATACTCGACGTGATCCAAATCACCGGAGATCCTAGCGCCGAACGGACGGCACCTCCGTGTTCAACACACGTACGGTCAGCGTGACGTCTCCTCCTTCTTGATCCAGCAAGGGGGGAGGAGAGGTTGATGAAGATCCAGCAGTACGACGGCGTGGTGGTGGATGCAGCAGTCATCGCAGCAGGGCTTCGTCGTTCTTCTGCGAGAGGGAGAGGTGTAGCAGGGGAGAGGGAGGCGCCAAGAGTCAAGGGTCCGGCTGCCCCTCCCTCCCCCCTTTATATAGGCTCCCCTAGGGGGGCGCCGGCCCTAGGAGATGGGATCTCCTAGGGGGGGCGGCGGCCAAGGGGTGGAGTGCCCCCCAAGCCAGGTGGGGCGCCCCCACCCTAGGGTTCCCAACCCTAGGCGCATGGGGTGGGCCAAAGGGGGCGCACCAGCCCACTATTGGCTGGTTCCCCTCCCCACTTCAGCCCATGGGGCCCTCCGGGATGGGTGGCCCCATCCGGTGGACTCCCGGGACCCTTCCGGTGGTCCCGGTACAATATCGGTGACCCCCGAAACTCTCCCGATGGCTGAAACTGCACTTCCTATATATAATTCTTCACCTCCGGACCATTCCGGAACTCCTCGTGACGTCCGGGATCTCATCCGGGACTCCGAACAACTTTCAGGTTACTGCATATTCATATCTCTACAACCCTAGCGTCATCGAACCTTAAGTGTGTAGACCCTACGGGTTCGGGAGACATGTAGACATGACCGAGATGGCTCTTCGGTCAATAACCAACATCGGGATCTGGATACCCATGTTGGCTCCCACATGCTCCTCGATGATCTCATCGGATGAACCACGATGTCGAGGATTCAAGCAACCCCGTATACAATTCCCTTTGCCAATCGGTACGTTACTTGACCGAGATTCGATCGTCGGTATCCCAATACCTCGTTCAATCTCGTTACCGGCAAGTCACTTTACTCGTACTGTAATGCATGATCCCGTGACCAGACACTTGGTCACTTTGAGCTCATTATGATGATGCATTACCGAGTGGGCCCAGAGATACCTCTCCGTCATACGGAGTGACAAATCCCAGTCTTGATCCGTGTCAACCCAACAGACACTTTTGGAGATATCCGTAGTATACCTTTATAGTCACCCAGTTACGTTGTGACGTTTGGTACACCCAAAGCACTCCTACGGTATCCGGGAGTTACACGATCTCATGGTCTAAGGAAAAGATACTTGACATTGGAAAAACTCTAGCAAACGAACTATACGATCTTGTGCTATGTTTAGGATTGGGTATTGTCCATCACATCATTCTCCTAATGATGTGATCTCGTTATCAATGACATCCAATGTCCATAGTCAGGAAACCATGACTATCTATTGATCAACGAGCTAGTCAACTAGAGGCTTACTAGGGACATGTTGGTGTCTATGCATTCACACATGTATTACGATTTCCGGATAACACAATTATAGCATGAATAAAAGACAATTATCATGAACAAGGAAATATAATAATAATGCTTTTATTATTGCCTCTAAGGCATATTTCCAACACGTCGTGCCGCCGGTGGCCCCGTCGTCCCCGCCCAAAGCCGAGCCGGAGGAGCCGGCCTACCGCGAGCGCTACTGCTGGACCGGAGGAGTGCGCGAGTGGGTCAGCGCTCCGCCGATCTGGCTCGGGGCGACGGAGAAGCAGGAGGCGGCCTACCTCGACCACTGGCGTCGCGTTCGGCTGGCCGAGAAGCGCCGGGAGGGCGAGCATCTGCAGATGCTCGAGCGCGAGGCCGACGAGAAGGCGCGCCAGGCCCAGGCAGCGGCGGCAAAGCCCGACATCGCCGCCGTCTGGAACACGGCGTTCCCCTGGGCCGGCCCTGCGCTGACGTTGATCGACCTCACCAGTCCCGACGCAGACGCCGCTGCTGACGAGGACGCTTAGGGCAGCGCGTCGTCTTGTTTTCAGTGTTTTTATTAATGTAATGTGGACTTTCACCGGCCTTCGTGGCCGGCTTTTATATTTAATTAAATGTATGTATTTATTTTCAAACTGCTAGCAATATTTTTTTTGGCACGCCGATGAAATGATTCGGGTCAGCGTTGGACGCTCGCACTGATCCAAACACAGCGCCGGACGTTTGTGTTCGTCGAGCCGATCTAAACGGACAAAAAGCGGACAAAAGCGTCATCCGTTTGGGTCGGTTCGTTGGAGTTGCTCTAACCTTTTGGCCAAGAAAAGTACTATTTGCCGTAAACCACGCCAGATCTCCGATATGGTCCATATGGACCAAGCCGGGTGAGCTCATAATCGAAAGGCATGATGAAAAGGTCCACCCAGCATTTATACGCCCGGCCGGCCGGCTCCTCCCAGGAAGCTTCCTCCGACGACAAGCACCGCACGACCGGGCCAGCGTCACGTCAGATCCTCCCTCCGCCGTCCCAGCCCCGTCACATCATCCGGTGCTCCGCTCAGCTCACTCGTCCCTCGTGTGTACAGCCACTACCACGGGTGCCGTCCGGCCGTCCAGATATCTCCCCCTCCCCACCCGCGCAGCTTCCCGGAAGCTTCTCCCCGAGATCGACATGGGGTCTCCGTCATCATCCTCTCGATCGTACCGTCCTATCCATCATGATCATCCGTCCTCACCTCCCCCTCCCTCCCCGCTTTATACAAGAGGCCAGCCAGCGCTCGGCTTCTTGCGCCCCGTCGACGCAGAAACAACGACAGCGGCGACAGTTCTTCATTGATCGGAGCTCGAGCTGGGCATGGCGGACGAGGGCGCGGGGGCATACGAGGACCTGCTGCCGGTGATGGCGGGGCGGCTGGGCACGGCGGGGCTGCTGTCGGAGCTGCGGGCGGGGTTCCGGCTGCTGGCCGACCCGGCGCGGGGCGCCATCACGGCCGAGAGCCTGCGGCGCAGCGCGGGGGCGGTGCTGGGCGTGGAGGGGATGACGGCGGAGGAGGCGCGGGCGATGGTGGGCGAGGGCGACCACGACGGCGACGGCGCGCTCAGCGAGCAGGAGTTTTGCGTGCTCATGGTGCGGCTCAGCCCCGGCATCATGGCCGACGCCGAGGGCTGGCTCGAGGAGGCCATCGCCGACGAGCTGGTCCCGCCGCCGCCGCCGCCCGCGCCGGCCGCCTGAGCCGTCACCTGCATAGCTAGCCATCTCGATTGTTATGTACTACTACTTGCATCGCTACTGACTCTGTATGTTTGTTGTATCGCCGCCGTGTAGTCGCCGTTGTTGTTTGAGTACTTACATGGTGATGCTCTTTGAGGCTTCGAGCTAGACTTGACCATGGGCAGCCCGGCCCGAAAAAGCCCGACCCGGCCAGGCCCGACGCTGCCCCCGGGTCGGGCTCGGGCCTAGATTTTGAGCCTGGTGACCGGGCCGGGCCGGGCCGGGCCCGGGCCTATCATTTTTGCAGTTTTCTAAAGGTCGGGCCGGGCCAGCCCGAGGCCTGGCGGACTTTTGCATGTTTGGGCCAGGCGCGGGCCCAAAAAACAGGCCCGATGGCCAGGCCGGGCCGGGTTCGGGTCTGGGTTTTTTCGTCGGGCTTGGCTAGGCCCGGCCCGAAGCCCGGCCCGGCCCGAGGTTTGGCCAGGTCTACTTCGAGCATTGCTTTATTCAGCGATGCTACACTTACGCTCAACTCATATGAGATTGTTGTTACGGGAACATGTGTCAATATTTGGTTGGAAGTTGAAATGAGGAGGACCCCACAGTAAAAATTAGAGGGCACAAAAATTGATTGGGAGAGAGTCCGTAATAGGAAACCGTGCAATGCTACCCGTAAGTGTAGCATTTTTGTTTTTCTACCTTCGACCTTCGTTTCTGAATATTCCAATATGGACCCGAAGCATGCCAAGTTGTTTGGTTCGAGACAGTGGTTGATATCATACGGGAGCGTGTGTGTGATCTTTTTCAGGGAAGTTGATCGAGATGTTGCCTCTGTTCATGATGATGTAACAGAGGAATCTGCTTCTATGTAGTATACATTTGTTTTTGTTTTCCGGGTAATTCAGGAGCTGACAAAAATAATAAGTACTCCGTTTGGTTCTCTCTACGGGGTCTGGGGTCTGCGAAATCATGACCCAGGGATCTGGGAAATCATGACGTTCTCTCTATGTGGTTGTTGATCTTCTAACAGTTTGGTTTTCACTGATCCCATTGCTTACTTTGTACTATGGTGTAAGAGCATCTCTAACCGATCTCTTAAAAAGGTGTAGATGAGTACTTTTTCTTTTTACTTCTCCTTCTCTGAATTAGACCTAGCCGATCCCCTAAAAGTTTTGGAGATAAACTATAACCATCAATGTCGTGAAATCATGAACAATTTTTTAAATCACAAGAAATTCATGAACATATTTGAAATCATGAACATTTTTTAAATTCGTGAACACTTTTACAATTTTTCGAACATTTTTTAAAACCAAGAACAATTTTTATTTCATGAATATTTTATACTATTTGCAAAACATTTTTCTAAAATTGTGAACAATTTTTAAACAATTTCCTTGAATCGGCGAACATTTCTAAAATTGATTAACTTTTTTTTTTGAAAATTAGGGGAATAATTTTTGAAATTCATGAACATTTTTTGATTCAACAAACATTTCTTGAATCAGCATACTTTTTATGAATGAATCAATCACTATTGAAGAATTCATCCGGTTAATCAGTTAACGGGTCAGTTAATCGCTACTCGTAGGGTGGCCGAATCGAATAGCACATATTCATCGTGTTAACTTGTCAGACCGTTTAATTGGCCCGTCAAACAGATTAATCGGTTGTTAGGCCGATTAATACACAAAACTTTTAAAAAATCATGCACATTTTTTTATTTCTCAAACATTTTTTTTCAAAATTATGACAATTTTTTGAATAAGCAATTTTTTTTACAAAATCGTGAACAGTTTTTGAATCCCTAAAATCTAACAATTTATTAAAAGATTTATTTCAATATTAACTTTTTTATTTTTGGAATTTTTTTTAAATCAAAAATTATTTAAAGTAGAAAAAACGAAAACATGAAAGAAAATTAAGCAAACGAAATTTTGAAGACAGGCCATCCGTGTATGGCCCGGCCCAATCAGGCGCGCTGCGTCTTGTTCCTGCATGCAGAGCGCAGTATAGGAGGTATCTACTGAACAGGCCGGCCCAGGCTGTGGATTCCCGTGTGTAAAACGTCCTTGACCACATTTTGCTGCATCACCGAAATACATTATCACTCTCAATTTCGTGAAATCATGAAAAAAGTTTGATATACTGAACATTTTTTTAACTCATGAACTTGTTTGTAATCATGAATATTTTTCAAATCCGTGAAAGCTTTCACAAAATTTTGAACATTTTGTAAAATCAATAACATTTTTTTGAATTCATGGAAATTTTATACTACTTGCAAGTTTCTAAAAATTGTGAACATTTTTTGATCAATTTTCTTGTATCGGAGAACAATTCCAGGATTGACAAACATTTTTTGGAAATTGGTGGAACAATTTCTAAAATTCACAAACACTTCTTATTATTTAATGAACATTTTTGGAAATGCACGATCATTTTTTGAATCAGCGACCATTTTAATGAATGAGTAAACGATTTTGTAATTATGATTTTTTTGAATTTTTAGGATATTTTCCATTAATGAACATTTTTTAATTGGCAATTTTTTGTTCAATTTGATTAATATTTTTAATACACCTACTTTTTAAAGAATCGTGAACATTTTTTGATTTCCTGAACATTTGTTTTCAAAATTTTGAATTTTTTGAAGAAGAAATCATTTTTTACAAAATCGTGAACATTTTGTGAATCCACAAACACTTTATGATTTATTAAAAATTTATTTCAAAAATCTCTTTTTTTGTTTTTGGGACCTTTTTGAAGCCCCCAATTATTTAAAGTAGAAAAAAACGAAAATGGTAAAGAAAAATAATGAATTAAAAACAAGCCGCTTGGACATGGTCCGGCCCAATCCGGCACGCTGCATCTTCTCATAGGTGGGGGATTGCTTTGTGTAAAACTTTTTTTTATCACTTATAGTTGGCATTGGTGGTTAATATTTTGCAACTTTAGAGGCAATTTTCGTGACATACCGCCAGAAGCAATAGCCCTTTATTATTAGGTATAAAAATATTATATTCCTCACCCGCCCCGACTCTTATTTTTACTCGGCAAGCAACCCAATCCTTACAACACTGGTTAGCAAGCCGATCTTATTGTATATCTCGGCCACCAATCAGGTGGTCAGCGCTGTGCTCATCGTAGAACGGGAAGATGACGACCACGCCTACAAAGTGTAGAGGTTGATCTACTATGTTTTTGAGGTGTTATCTATGTGTAAATCAAGTACCCTCATTATCAAATGATTGCGTATGCAGTTTTTATAGCATCTCGAATGCTCTGATACTATTTCCAAGAGTGCCTACTGTGGCTTCTCAATTTCTCCATGATGACATTGTCAATAACGGGTATGCCACAGGCCGGAATGCAAAGTGGGCCATGTAGCTCCTTCCCTTTGAGATCTACCTGTCATGTCAGGCTGTCAAATCTCAGGTGTTGACTGATTTTGTTGCGGAGTGGACGGAGGCTGAGCTCCCCACGGAGTATACCACCTACACAAATTGGGTCATGTACTTCAACAGATCTAAGATGTCGCCGGCCTGGGGGCTCGTGTCGTCCTCGTTTCACCAACCAAAGACATGATGAAACACATGTTGCAGATCATATACACAAACCCTGACAATGCGGCAGAGTATGAAGCATTGCTACATGGTCGGATGTCTGTGTCAATGGAGAATCAATGTCTAAAGGTTAAAGGTGATTCTATTCTCACGATCACGACCTCATAGATTAAAGGCGACTTCGATGCCAAAGACGTGAGGATGTCAGCGTACTGGATAGTAGTCATGCAGATGTCTGCACATTTTTATAGCTTCAAGTTTCACCACAACTGGCGCGATAACAATCAAGCGGCCGATATAATAGCCAAAATAGACACATGACGTGACCTTGTACCAAAAAATGTGTTCCTCGAGTGGCTATTCAAGCCGCCCATCAAGCTGCAGACAATCAAGCCACAGACCGCACATGAGCAGGTTTGAGAGGCCGGTGGCTCCGAGCTCGGCCACACAATAATCAGGGACTTAGAGCATCTTTAGCTTTTGTGTCCCTCAGGTGATTTTTGCGCCGGATAAAAACTTACCGGCGCTAATTTTGCTTTTGGGGTGAGAATTTTGCCAGTAGTTAAAGCCCCCAGTCCACGCCTCACTCGATCGTCCGCCTGACCGCCTTCATGCCGAACGCCGTGTCCGCCCCGCGCTAGGGCCGGCGAGGAGCTCGTCCGCCGTTGTGTCCGCCCGCACGCCTCATCTCGTACAGCACCCCAGCCATCTTGTCGCGCGGGGCCGCCTTCTTCTTGAACGTCACACCGGGCTCCTCCATCTTGGTTGCTTGCGGGACCATCGACGTCAGTCGGCCCTTCACGACGCCGTCACTGGAGTGCGGGGACGGGACCGGCGACTGCTTCCACACGGCCAACGGCGATGTGCCATTGGCGTCGGCCTTGCCGTTGTTGCACTCCTTAGCGTCGCTGGCGTCCGCGGATGCGCTGCGGACATTGCACTCGAAGTGCAGGTGCAGGAAGTGATGGCGCGGCTCGACGGCAGGTCGCCGGCCAGGGCCTTGCTGAAGATGTCGAGGAGCCCCTCGTCCCTGTCCGTGCTGGCCGCGGCTCAGCATGTAGGTGGCCTCCAAGCGGGCGGTTGGAGGCCGACGTTGAGCCGCCCCGTGCCCGGTCCCTCGAGCCGCCCCCTGTAGCACGCGGCCGACCCGGTCCTGGAGCTCGTCCCCGCTCCCTCACCCCGCACCGCGAGCTCGTCCGTGTCGGCGCCGCACCAGCGTGGAGGAGTGGCAGCGGCGAGCAGGAAGAGCAGGGCGCGGGCGGCGTGTGCGCCATTTCCACCGGCGCTGTGCGTGGCGAGGCGAGGGCGGCGGCGTGCCTGGCGTGACGATGCGAGGGCGGCGGCGTGCCGGGCGCCGTGAGGCAAGAGAAGGAGAAGAGAGAGGATGGGTGTGTGGAGGGGAGCACATGAGTGGGCCAGGGATGGAAAGGGACAAGAGAGGAGAGAGACACTGCC